TTTTTTGATAACCACGACGCGTTATGTCTGTTAATACCTTGGGCGACTTGAAGGTTTGGGCAAGAATAGAATAACAGCTCTGGACGACCGTATGACACTCTATTCATTCAGATTCTGGGCGACTTGCAAACTTGGACGATGGCATTACCGCATTCTTGGGCCCCCTTATTTGGGCCTTCACCTTAATTCGTTCGATTGGACTTCGTTCTTTGGGCTATCTGATTTGGGGATCCTCCAGTTGGGCTTTACTCCTTGGGCTGTTCGATTTGGGCTGAATTTTTATATGTCAATAATAAGCCATATCTCTGATTTCTATTTCCAACGACTTCACTTCTTCGCTGCTATTTTGGGATGATTTTGCCAGAAATAGTAGGATATCATCGACCTTTCGTGATACAACAAATATTTTCCCTTTAGGATAAAAATAAAATTTGTTATCGATGTGACGAAGAGTTTGCAAAAGAGAAAGAACGGCAGCACAAGCCATTTCAGATCTCAGAAAAAAATTGCTCAAGCAAAGAAATGAAAAATCAACACATCAATCAAGGAAGCATTGTTAATGCAAGAAATGGGTAATTCTCCTTTACTCGGGGGGCACAAAGGGTAATTTGTTCCCTTTGGTCATCATTACCCCACTCGCCGATGCAATTTTTGGTATAGTTGTCTAGCATTGATTACTTCTTTAATTGGTCATCCATTATATTGTGAGTTGGATTATCTTGTGACAAATCCTCGATAATCCAATTCACATAGCAAATTCACTTTTAAAGAATGCAATCATTGGTGAGAAGGCAGTAGAAATAATTGCAACAAAAGACTTGATCATTTGAAAAATATTAGCAAACATTTTTCAAAATCTTTCAATCATTGCAGCATCTGTAACATTTTTAATCGTTGCATGTGAGCTTCTTTTAGACTGTTTTCATTTAAAATGCTGTTAGTTGATCATAAAAATCAATTTTTTTTTTTTTTTTTTTTTACTAATTAAGTGAAGGGAAAAATGATAACTTTATTTACCATATAAAATAATTAAAAAAATGAAAACGAAAACGGAAGTCATCTTTTTTTTTTTTTTTGATACCCAGGTGTCCCAGTTTCGCCAGACTAAATCTTGGACCCCTAGCCACCGGCCCCTCAGTGACTAGCGGAGGTAAACCGCAGGTTGTCCTCTTGTTGGATCACAGGTTCTCACCCGATCTACACTCCTGGCCTCGAGAGAGCTTTCCTCCATAGTGATTGATCCACCAATAAATTGCCCCTTTATTGGATCACAGGTTTCCACCAGAAATCGAACTCTCCACGCTGAGGTTGCGAGCGCGCCAAAGGTGATTGATCCACCAACTCGGATGTGCCCTGGGGGCGAAAACGGAAGTCATCTTCTTTCGAGGAAATGTGGCCAATGACATATTGACTTAGCCCAATTTTGAAAATGGCCTTTGACCATATTTAATTTATAAAAAAGGTAAAAAAATTTAAAAAATTAATGGATTCTCACAAATGTCCTTCATTTCAAAAAAATAATAATAATAAATAAAAATAAAAGTAAAGAAAAGAAAAAAAAATAAAAGAAAGAAGGAAAGAAAGGGGATTGAAAATTCAAAAGAAGGGGAAACGGACAAAATCGACTTCAATTGTTCGTTCCCATCATCTTCTATACATTTAACCAAGGTTTTTTCCCTTTTTTTTTTTTTTTTTTTTTTTTTTTTTTTTTTTTTTGGGGTTTAAATTTCATGATTTTGGGAATAGGTAAATAGATCTTTGATTTTTACATTTAGTCTTGCTTTAATCTATGAATATTTGGTTATAATACATTAATTAAGGAAGATATATGTTAAGAATGGAAAAAATATATAAAATTTTAAGGTTTTTTTGGAGACGCAGTTGCCATTGGTTTATTATTCAATTTCTTTTTTTTAATTCTTTTTAATATTAATTTTATTTTATCCTTTTTTATAATTTTTTTTTCTTTTTAACTTTCTTTATATTAGTTTTATTTTTCTTTTATTTCCCTTTTTTTCAATTTTTTCCACTTTTAATTTAATTTTCATTTACATTCTTTTTTAATAATTTCCTTTTTGCTCTTAATTTTATTTTTCTGTGACTTTATTTTTCTTTTCTTATTTTTCAATTTCAATCAATTTTTATTTTTATTTTTTCAATTTCAATTTTATTTTACAATTATTTTTTCTTAATTTTAGTTTTTGTGATTTTTAATTTTTTACATTTAATTTTTGTTATTTATTTTTCTTTTACTTTAACTTCCTTTTTTCAAGTTTGATTTTTTAATTTATTTTTCTTTAAATTTTATTATTTAATAATTTCTTTTTTAAAGTTTCCCTTTAATTTTACTCTAGATATTTATTTCCCTTTTACTCTACTTTAAATTATGATTTAATATATCAATTTTATTTTTTTTTAACTTTAACTTCATTTTTGTTTTTCTTTTTAATGTGCAATTAAATGAATTTATTTCTTGAATATAGTAGCATAAAATTTGGTTGGTTGAATTTTAAAATATTATGTCATATTCCATAATATCTTGTAAATGGTTTTAGCATTTGGAGTTATTATAGGATGGAGTACCACCATGACGTTAGGATGAGAGATCATCTATGAAAAGTTACGTCGTATTATAACTTTTCCAATTATGCGACAATTTTAAAGAGGCTAAACGAGGAGCATGTAGCCATACTCGTTAGTCCATCCCATACTATTCATTGAAGGATATGTAGATTTCTGGCCACATTGTCGATTTTTTAATACTTCGACTGCTTAAGCCAGTCGATTGCGATGTGCCTATTTAGGCTAGGGACAGGATGGTGTCAAAATTCTCGATCCTTGAGTTTGTCTTCATTACAAGTCTGAAGTGTACCGGTAAAAAAATAGTGAATGCCTGTATTGCAACAAATAAAATGTTGCTAAATGAATATTTGGGAGGTAAATAGCTTGTTACATCCCTACAATTAGATGACACATTCAGGAGACGCGAACACATGTTGGACAGATTAAAGTTGGGATTGGTGTTTTATCCTAGAGAGTGTACCGAGATGTCGATGTTTACTAAGAAAGTGCAAACTTGCAAGTGCACGGGTCGCGTTCAAATAATAAAATGAATCTTTTGAGTCCGAGTTGTCGATCCCTCGAGAAATGTCTATTTTAGATTACATAATTTTAATCAATTTAATTCTAACAATGAAACAAACACACACAATTAAAATTATGATTTTGAAAATGAGAAAATGGCTAAAAACCATACGAAAATGAGAAAATATAAAATCTTGGAAATTTTGGAGGCAAACGTGGTTATTATTCATAGTTTCACTTAGCCGTCGTCT